CTTCTTGTAAAGACCCAAAAGGCCTAGAGCTTAGATATTTTGCATAAGGCATTGTCTGGTAGACTTCTACCCAGATTGTTCAAATTATAGCCCTGGGGTCAAAATGGGCCCCGCCCCGGGGGTCATTGATTTTCACTGTATGTACATATAGTAAAAACTTAAAATACCTTCTTGTAAAGACCCAAAAAGGCTAGAGCTTAGATATTTTGCATAAGGCATTGTCTGGTAGACCCTTACCAAGATTGTTCAAATTATAGCCCTGGGGTCAAAATTGGCACCGCCCCAGGGGTCATTGATTTTCACTATATGTACATATAGTTAAAACTTAAAATACCTTCTTATAAGGACCCAAAAGGCCTAGAGCTAAGATATTTTGCATAAGGCATTGTCTGGTAGACCTCTACCCAGATTGTTCAAATTATAGCCCTGGGGTCAAAATCGTCCCCGCCCCGGGGGTCATTGGTTATCCTTATATGTATATAGTAAAAACTTACAGTAAAAACTTTAAAAAAAATCTTCTAGTAATTGACAAATGCTAGAGGTAAGATATTTTGTATGAAACATTGTGTAGTGAAGCTCTAGCAAGATTGTTCAAATTATAGCCCTGGGGTCAAAATTGGCCCCACCCCTAGGGGTCATTGATTTTCACTATGAACATAGAGTAAAAAATTTAAAAAATCTTCTTATCTGAAGGTACAAGGCTTAAAGCTTTGATATTTGGTATATAATATCATCTTTGGGTCCTCTACTAATGTTGTTTTAATTATGCCCCTAGTGTTGAAATTGCCCTGCCCCAGAGGCGCTAGATTTCCTTATATGTATAAAGTAAAAACTTGAAAAATCTTCTTCTCTGAATTGACAAAGGCTAGAGTTTAAATATATGGCATGAGACTTTGCGAAGTGTACCTCTACCAAGATTGTTCAAATTTTAGCCCTGGGGTCAAAATTGGTTCTGCCCCGGGGGTAATTGATTTACATTATGTACATCTAGTAAAAAAATAAAAAATATTTTTGTCTGAAGGTACAAGGCATAGAGCTTTCATGTTTGCTATATAATATCATCTATAGGTCCTCTACCAAAGTTATTCAAATTTTTCCCCTGGTGTCAAAACTGGCCCTGCCCGGGGGCATGATTCTCATTATGTACACATAGTAAAAACAGAAAATAAAACAAATGTTTTCTGAATTTGAGAAAGCTTCAGCTTAGATATTTGACTTGAAATGTTGTTTGGTGGACCTGTATCAAGATTGTTTTGAATTAAACCCTTGGGTCAAAATTTTGCCTTGACCAAGGGGACAGTGACCTACTTTCTTGTCCTTTGATGTACAGCAATGAAATTTTGACCATGTGCATAGTTTTAGTTGTAAAATTGAACTTTGATATCAGGTGACCTAGATTTTGATAATGTGACCTACTTTCTTGTGCTTTGATCTACAGCTATGAAATTTGAACCATGTGCACAGATTAAGATGTAAAGCGGACTTTGATATCAGCTTACCTAGATTTTGACAAAGTGTCTTACTGTGTTGTCCTTTGATGTAGTCATGAAATTTAGGCTGTGTGAAATATGACCTTCACCACCAAATTCACTAGACTCAAGTGCATTGATATATTCCTGCTCTGATCTTTTATTTGATTAACAATAGATTTACTCACTAATCTGATAATAAGAATTAGATAGGTCAGGGATCTATGCATTATGACAATCCTCAATTGTATAGAAACAAAAAAAAATATGTTCCTACACTACTATTTAGTGTTGTATTAATGCGGTGGCATAGCATTTTTCTCAAATGCAATCTTGTTTATTATACACCATTTGAAAGTTAAATCTTTTATCTATTGCTGTATGTTAAAATATTGGTAACTTTCCTTGCATTTCACTTAGAAAAACATAGTAGAACATAATAAACCACTGAGCCAGTTTTTTCATCATATGAATAGTTTTGTTACAAAAATTAATGAGTAGTTCTCTTTAAAAATTGATGTATCATCTACTTAAATGGGAACTGTAAATTCTTTTACCTGCAGCCATAGACAAATGCATAAGCTTTCAGAAAATGTATTATTTTACTAATTTTGATATCTGGTTAATAAGTTTTACCTGCTACAAGTTTTAAGTTTAGCAAGCATGCATGATATCTTAAGTGGCTAGGAAGTTGCCTATCTCATTAATTCATACTTTGACAAAACTAGTGTGACAAAACAGACCTATTAAAATTATAAAAAGGAAACATTAAAATTTGTTCAAACGTTTCTTTGTTTGCTTTTAGAAAAAGTAACAAGTCGAGCGTTGCCCCCACCCAGCAGTGGCTCTTGTTGACAGAGTTATGCCCCTTTTACTTTGAGAAAAATAAGAAATTCTCAGTTTCTGTTTATTATCTCTCCAACGGTAGTACACATTCAACTCAAATTTGACGTATGGATACATCAAAGGAATGCACAGGTTAAGTTTGAATTTGGTCATGGTTCAATTGTTTTTGGCTGAGTTATGCTCCTTTCAGGGAAATTTTCAGTTTTTGTTCATTTTCTCCCCAACAGTTGTACATTGTCAACTTAAATTTAATATATGAATATGTCATAGGAATACGCTGGTCAAGTTCGAATTTGGTCATTGTTCGATTATTTTTGACAGAGTTATCCCTCTTGAACTTTGAAAAAAATAAGAAATTTTTAGTTTCTGTTCATTATCTCCCCAACAGTGATACACTGTCAACTCAAATTTGACATATAGATACATCTTAGGAATAAGCAGGCCAAGTTAGAATTTGGCCATGGTTTGATGATTTTGGACAAAGTTATCTCTCTTGAATGATAGAATTTTTTTTGAAATTTTCAGTTTCCAAACTCTTTCAGCTACAAATAATTTGCAAAAGGTTAACACTGAAAAGTTTCATGGCCTTGCATGGACTTTGTATAAAAATGGTTTGTGTTAACATTGAATAGTTGAAGGACTTTGAACTTAGAATGAAAAAAATAGTTTGTGCAAACAAATTTGGAACTAAATATTATTATATCGTTTGAATTTTGGCTGCATGTGGTGGCATCCGTGGCGTGACAACACATTTCTAGTTTTGTTTTCAAGATCTAAATATTTAGTATTAAGGACTCTGAGATAGTTACTTTCAGAGAAGTCCTCTCATCAAGTGGAGAAGGAATAAGCTAATAGATGTCAAAATTGGATTACATGTCCTGACTGTGATCAAGAATGAAACAAATTTTTATTTGATGAGCTTCATATTTAATGTCACTACAACCTAAGCAGACTTTTCAACAGCTTCTAGACAGAGACAGATTCTATGTGGTCAGCAGATGGCCCATAATGTATTGATTGTATTGTCAATAGTCAAAGATAATGGAAATAATGACATAATGTCCTTAGTAAAACAATAATGCCCAAAGTTTAGATATTTGGTTTGAAGTATTGCCTGTTGGGCATTTATAAAAGATATGTAAATCATGCCAGTGGTCCAACTCTTTGGGTAACAAAGACTTCTATAGCAAACTTATTCTACTCCAAAAATTATAATATTCAGAACTGAGATGTTGGGTATGTAGCATTACTTGTGGTCCTCTACAAAAGATATATCATTTTGACCTTTTGGGTCAAAATTGATCCAAACCTGAGTTTACTTAGTTAACTTAGACAAAAACTAAATTGAATTTTACAGAGCTGCTATACCGACAGCTTAGAATTGGCAATAGGACCCCTACACAATTTCTTTGCATCATAAAATGGGATAAAAAAAAAAGCTGGCCCTAGCTGTTACTTAGGTTATAAGGTCTTCTATAGCAAAAATACTTTATAAGTCTTCTTTCTACACTACAATGCCCAGATAGTGTACCTGCCCTTTAAACGCAATAGGGAGAGCATCAGATTAGTTATTCAGGAGTCCTTGGTTATATTCTGATGCAAGGCGTAACTTCACTAAGCCTCAAGCCCTGTGGTCATTAGTTTCTCACTGCTGATTCAGAAATCATGTGGAATAAGTAGACAGTCTTTTGCAAAAAAAACCCTGGTAATTACTGGTTAGGTATCAGTAGTCAATCTTTTGCAATGTTAATGTAATGTTAGGTATCCAGGAAAGTCAGATAGGTGGATTGATGGCAGAGATATGACCAAAAGCCTGTTTAAATCAGCATAAAAACCAAGAAAACAAACAAAATGCTTACTTAATGTACATGTATTTAGCATCATCTTGTGGACATTTACAAAAGTTAGTTGTATTTTAGGCTCCAGTTTAATAGTTTGCTTCATCTTGGTGTTTATATAGATTACAACAACATATATAGGAAAATAGAGAATTTCTAGTAGACCTCTAAACAACTTATATGAATCATGTCCCTGGTGTCAAACATGCCACTTACTTATCCCCACCTGCAGTACCCCCTCCCGGCTCGCCATGTATCCTTATCACCTACTTCTGCTTTAAAGAATGACATTTTCTAGCAATAAATCTCAGATATATGAGATCAGATCATCATGGTCCTATTGTTTTATCCTATTGTCACAGGGTGAGAGAAATGTGCAGCCTGACCGGGACTCGAACCCGGGACCCTCGGAATACCGTACCGCGGCTCTACCGACTGAGCTATCCGGCTGCTTACACATCTTCTCCCCTATATAGTGAACAGTTCTGAACCGTGACATACTCCCCTGCTATATTGAAATTCGTCCTCGAATTTCACAGAGTTACAGAGCAATGTAAATTAAACTCTGAGCTATATCAGTCACGGTCCCCCGTTGGGCACCAAATGTCACAGGGTGAGAAAAATGTGCAGCCTGACCGGAACTCGAACCCGGGACCCTCGGAATACCGTACCGCGGCTCTACCGACTGAGCTATCCGGCTGCTTACACATCTTCTCCCCTATATAGTGAACAGTTCTGAACCGTGACACTATCTGTGTTAAAAATTCGTTTCTCTACATATCAAGAATATTTTCCAATAATTTTTAGCTAGGTTATGTTTGATATGAATTTTTTAACATGGTTTCAGGTGCAATAATCTGCTGTACTGTGGTTGACCGCTTAAAAAGTGACCAGATAACAGCAAGTCATGAAACACTTGAAGAATGGCAAATGAGACCTCAGAGAGTTGTTGCCAAATATATACGTCAACAGTTGGGACTTGAATAGATACATTAACACGAATCCTGTAGTTATATTTTGTTCTGTTCACCATGTACAAAAATCACATTGTTTAGCCCATGTCATCTAGTTAGGTGCTTTGTTTGAAATAAAGAAGCAAACTGTATCAATATATATATATTACAGGGGTCTTCAGATGAAGTACTTTTCAAGCAATTCCATTAACTGCATGCTTTTTATTACAGTGAAATGTTTAAGATATTGAATTTGTGTTCAAGCCTTTTAGAATAGCCAAAAGGTCTTAACTTTTCTGTCTACTTTTCTCTTAATTTGATGGTTTTCCGTAAATATACAAGAAAAATGTCCCGACAAATTTAATATCTATGATGCTCATCTGGTATCAATAACAATTTAATCATTATACTTATAGACACAGCACATTATTTATTCTTCTATATGTTAATATGTTTTAGCTTTATTTATTTGTAGTCACTTCTATTTTACACTTTTATATGCAAGATTTATATATAATGTGCATTTTTTGTCATACTGGTATTTTACCTACAGGCAAACAAAGATATGTAAATTTAAGAGATATTTTTATTAGACTTTATCAACAAAACCATATTGTAAGCTCTACAACTGATGCAATTTCATTGAAATTTTACAGGAATGATTGGTAGCTAAAGTACTTGCGCATACTAAAGGGTTTTCTACTTGAATGATTTTTGTCAGAGTTATGGCCCTTTAATAAAAAGGTGTTAATAAAGTTTGTATGGAATACTCCTCTTTTACCAATAATGTAATTTTATTGAAACTTTAAAAGATTGATTAGTAGGTAAGTACTTTGCGATTACACAAACCCCTTTTCTTTTCAGTCAGACGGGGGTTTTAAAACCCCCTTTATTTCAAATCCCCGGCATTAAGAAGGGGGGTTTCATCCTCCTTCTGGCAACCCCTTGATGTACCATTTTGATGGGGGATTTTTTGGCAGAGTTATGGCCCTTCAAAAAGGGTTTTTTTTGTGTTGCCAGCTACTTGTTTGGACTTCTCTTCAGAAACTAAGTGCATTTTCATCAAAACTTTACAGGAATAATAAATACTATGTCTAGTTGTGCATCTCATCAACATTTTTTATGATTATTGTCAGATTAATGATTTTAATTTTTAAAATTTGTCTGGACTACTACTCTTACACCACTTAGGCAATTTTTATGAAACTTTACAGGATTGATTGGTAGCTTAAGTACTTGCACATATTTCTGGTTGAAGGATTTTCAGCCTTGAATAAAAAATGTATTTTGCCCTTTTAATGATTTTTGGGTCTCCTATTACACAATAGCAGCAAAATGCAATTGGCTATCATGAGGTGACACATGTCATCACTGATGAACCTTGTCTTATTTTTGTAGCCTTTTGTGAATTTGACTAACAGTGTGTAGTTTCCGAGGGCTGTGCCCAAGGGTCTGACTAGGACCTTAACACAGCCTTAACATTCTGCATAACTGGATATAATATAAATTTTGGCCTAGCTTCTGCAAGTTTTAATCTTCTAAAATTTCTAGCAGAACCTTGGCAGATATAAATGAGGTAGAAAGTAACAGAAAAACACCATTTCAGTACTTCTGTGGAAAAAAAACTTTGAAATCATCTCCTCAGAAACTGCAGTGCCAAGAACCTCGACATTTGGCATGTAGTATACATGGCTTCATATTTACACACTTACTGATCAATAAAAAGTACATAATCTGGGCAAAGCTACATAGCTATGGCTTCCATTCATTTCAAGTTATTGCTCTTTTCAGCACTTTGAAAATTGATATGGTTAACCTAAAATTCAAGTTGAATATATCTTAAAGCTACATTAAGTAAATATGTAAAAATATTTTTGCGGACGGCCTACAAACCAAGCATTCTACAGTTTCATTAACCTTTTTAACAGTATCGTTGTGAATCTCATCAAATATTGTTTATAAATTAGGATTTTGAATGGAAAACCCCACCATAACACTAAAGTTTGTATACGAATTTTAACATGCAAATGAAGACTATAATCAGCTTGTGTATGCGCTATGTCACTGTGTTATAGTTGCTATTCAAAACACAGCAAATATAAGATTTTCTTGTGCAAAACACACTTTTACCGTTTACGCTTCACGATGCACTAGGCCTTTGGTTCAGAAAAAATAATCATCTCGTAAAAAAGATTAAATTTGTATGAAAATATCCGTTACAAATTGTGGAAATATACCGTTAAATTAAAACTGCTACTTAAAGTCATGTTTGTTGATTTAAATTTGATGTATAGCTCGAATTCGCTATTCCTTTCATTATCTGTTTACATCAATATTGACAAATACGAGTGTTGATAATTCTTATATAAAAGCATATTATTTAATCGCTTTAATAATTATTTAATCACCTAAATAATTACTAATTTTAACTGTTCAGCGTAATAGCGTAGTGGTTGAGTGTTAGCTTCGTCAGTGTAAAGACCCTGGTTCGATTCCTGGAAAAGGCATTTTTCTTTTCTTATATATCTTTTTTATATATATATTTATTTCAACGATCTGGATTTTAGTTCCTCGTGAATTAAGTTCATACAATACTATTTGAGAACATTTAGTTTTACACACATTCGCTTTCGACAGGTTAAGTTAGAGGCAACCCTCACAGTCGTAATTAGAGTGATAAATGAGGTTATAAATATACAATTGAGCCGAAATTGTTAAAAAATGTAGCTAATTGAATTCAGAGTTTTAAATAGTAATAAATTAACAATACTTTTCAATCTGTTCAATGACTGTTAAAATCAAATTCATTCCATTTTTCTAAACCGTTGTAAGTTTAACTTTAATTGTAAAAAATTATAAATCACAGGTTTATAAGACAATATGAAAATGTTTTTTTTTTTTGAAAGTAAAAACCATACACAAAAAATATTGCACAATTGCAGATTTGAACTCGGAAATTTTTTTTTCTTAACTTTCTCTTCATAATCTGAACTCTCTAACCACTACGCTACCCGGATTTACGTGTCCATATCCACTTTTATTCTTCTATATTGCAATAAAAATGCAAAGTGTAATAACTGAATAACTTGCACAACCTATTATATCATAATGGCATGACCGATTAATGTAAACATTCGACTTATAAGAATGATCTGAAGGCGGAGTTTCTCATGCAAACAGAAATTGTACTTTCGAATTCGCCACAATGAGGTTGCACATTTGTATGCTCATAAAATCTCATTTTGGTTGTCTGGACACCAAAATAAGATCTGGAGTCGATATGAAACCCAATTTATTAATGAAATGTCGCTATTTCTGTTTTTATGAAATTTATTAAATGTAACTTTAAGCTCTATCTTTATTGATGGCTTCATAATTTCCACACTTCTAAATACAAAGTACATGATATTGCCAAGTTACATAGCTGTGCTATCCATTTTTCCAAGTTATTTCCCTTTTTATCACTTGAAATAGGGCATTTTCTGGTTAACCTATGCCAGCAAGTTGGATTTATCTTAACATTTTCATTTATTTAATGATATCTTCCATATTTGGTAGGTGGATACCTTAAAGTTACATTTAATAAATTTCATAAAAAACTAAATAGCGACATTTCATTAATAAATTGGGTTTAATATCGACTCCAGGTCTTATTTTGGTGTCCAAACAACCAAAATGAGTTTTACTAGCATGAAAAAAAGTAACCTCATTGTGGCGAAGTACAATTTCTGTTTGCATGAGAAACTCCGCCTTCGGATCATCCGTACATCAATATTAAATCAACAAACATGACTATAAGTGGCAGTCCTAATTTAACGGTATATTTCCGCATTGTAACGGATGTTTTCATACAAATTTAATCTTTTTACGAGATGATTACTTTTACTGAATCCCAAGTTTAGTGCACCGTGAAGCTTAAACGGTAAAACTGTGTTTGCACAAGAAAATATCACATTTGCTGTGTTCCGGATAGCAACTATAAAATTGTGACGTAGCGCATACACAAGCTCATTATAGTCTTCATTTGCATGTTAAAATTTGTATACGAACTTTAGTGTTACCGTGGGGTTTCCCGTTTAAAATCCTAATTTATGAACAATATTTGATGAGATTTACAACAAAACTATTAAACAGGATAATGAAACTGTAGAATGTTTGATTTTTAGGCCGACGGCAAAATATTTTTACATATTTATTAAATGTAACTTTAATGGTCCTCTAACTTTTTGTGGAGTAAAGTGTCACTTGGGCCAAGGTCAATGTCATTGGTGTAAAAATTGTTTAACATGTTTGCTCATAGTCTTTATTTTTATATTGATGTCTTTCATGTATAATATGCACATACATTCCTTTTGGGTTCAGTTAGAGGTCATTTGGGTCAAGGTCACCAATGACAGACCAAAGTAGATTTTTACACTTTTAAAGGTGTAACCTTATCCTTTTATATTTGGTAGGAACCTAAAATTGAGAAAACTTCTTTGGATGGAGTCAGGGGTACTGAAAATAGATTTTTACACTTTTGCCAATACAACCTTTATTTATTGACATATGTCTTTCATATTTGGCAGGAAGATTACATTGCATTTCATTCTTCATTTTGATTGAGTAAGGGGTCAGTGGGTCAAGATCAGGGGTGCCAAAAATAGATTTGCTTAATACACAGCCTTTATTTTTAGACTGATGTTTTTCATATTAAGAAGGAACATGCCTTTTATGGTTCAGTGTTGGGAGTCTCAAAGTCAAGGTCACCTGTGCTAACAATAAATTTTTTTTTATCCCCCACTGAAAAGGCGGCGGGGGATATAGAAATAGTCTCTGTCTGTCTGTCCAACCGTCCGTCTCTCTGTCCCACTTTTTTGTTCGGTGCATATCTCAAAAAGTATTTGAGTTATCAATTTGAAAATTCATAGGTGGATAGATCATATTGAGGAGGAATGCAATCAAGAATGATTACTCTACCCTGCATATTTTTTCAGTTATTGCCCTTTGTTATTTTTTAAACTTCATTTTTGTCCAGAGCATAACTCAAAAAGCCTTTGAGATATCAACATGAAACTTCATAGGTGGATAGATCTCACTCAGGAGGTGTGCACTGCACAAGAGTGATAACTCTACCCTTCATAATTTTTATTTTTTCAACATCAATGACTTACCAACTTAATGTTTAATTGTTCAATGTTCAATTACAAAACACCATGACTTTGTAAAATTACAAAATGTATATAACTGAGTTTACATATTTTCTTTTTATAATTTTCTGTCCGTATAACTGAGTGAATGGTAAACATTTTATTTGGAAAAATTGTTACAGACAAGAATCTGAGCTTGGAGCATTTGTGTTTAACAAGCACATTCTTGTTCCCTGCGGTCTGGAGACCGCAGGGTATTGGTACGTGTTTAACTTTTGAGGCATGGAGGAGCACGTGACCTGTTTTCGGTACATGGAGGAGCATGTGATCTGTAAACTGTACATGATTGGTTAATTGACCTTTTCGAAAACCTAGCTAAATACCGTTTGCCGGTACGTTACGGATTTACCTCTAGGGAATTAGTCCGAATTACACCTAATTAAGAACAAAAAACTATTACGTGATATTTCTAATTTTCTACAATTATTTTACCGTTTAAGGTGAAAAAACTTGAATTATGTGTTTGAAAATTATCAATGTTTCTATAAAATCTATCTCAAATTTTACAAACAATAAGAAACCTATGTAATTCGTAGTGGCATCTGCCATAATAAATAGAGATATTTTATGCGTAAACTTGTGTGTTAACTTTATTCTTTGTTTGCTAGGAATTATTCATAAAGTGGTAGGC